GCTCTGGGCCGCAAATCCACAGTAAAACCGGTTTATTTGGCTACAGAAAGGGAGATCTCCGGGGACGGGGGGGATTGGGAGGAAAACAGAACCAGGGGTTGAACTGGTCACACACGGAGCTGAGCAGGTGGCCTGGAGGTGCCCCTGGATGTGTCCGGGCGTTCCAGGAAAAACTTCCTCTTGGAGTCACTTCCCGGCTGGAGTGGCCCCTTTCCAAGTGGCTGCTTCCAGGGGAAACTGAGCTTCTTTGGGATTCACTAAAACGTGTCAGTGAGGAGAGGGGGGGGTTTCACAGCAGATCGCTGCCAGGCCCCGGGATTGAGTTCAGAAATAGGGAAAGAACGGGAGTATTTTATTTAATTATTCCTGTCTCATCCTGGAGTGGATGTAGCAGCTTCCCTGGGTTTGGGGTTGATTCCTGGTGCCTGTTGGAGGAGGAAAAGCCGGTGGACAGTGAGAGTGGTTGAAAAGGGGGGGGTAGAACACGTAGTTCCTGGTGCTTTTCCTCCCTTGCAGGGGAGAAATGGGAGGGTTAAAACATTTGTTGTAAGGAATTAAAGGCACAAATAGAGCAGCAGGAGAGACTTTTCCAGGGAAATCTTGTGGCTTTAAAACCAAAAATTCCCCACGGGGAGGTGCAAGGAATCTGCTCTCAGGTGTTTTTTGAGGTGCAGAAAGGTTTGCTTCCTTCTTGCTCTTCAATCCAGGACAGAGGCAGGTCAGGAAAGTGGGAAATCAGACAGGGAATGGGGTTGGTTCTGCACTACCAGGAAGGAGAAGCTTCTAAAATACACCGAACAGATTTCCATTCTATTATTTATCTTCCCTTAAAATATATCAAGTTTACGTTGCTTTTGGTCATGTTTTTCCTGACCCTCAGCTACTGTATCTGTAATTATTTTATTTGATTTAATTTTTTACAAAATGGGTTCAAAATCTCTTAATACAAACATTTCACTGGAGTTCTGGGGGAAAAAAAGTGTTTAAAGTTCTCATCAACTTGGATCAGAGGCCTGCTGAGTGCACCAGAGTTACTCATTTTTATTCTGATTTTCTGGGGTGAATTCAGTTGATTTTTGCTTAGCGCTCAGATTGCCACTTTAAAATTTAAGAAAAAAAGGTGTTTAATTAACTTTGTTTTATAATTAAATTACCTTTATGGAGTTTAGAACTTTTAAGGGTTTTTTTGTTGGGGTTTTTGTGGGGTTTTTTGTTGATTTTTTTTTTTTGTTATTGTTGTTAACTGTTTTAAAGTTTTGCTTTATTCCCGTTCCTTAAACAAGATCCATTCAAATTCTGACCAGGAATATGGAAATATGGAAACCCAAAAGTGGAATATGGAAAACTGCTGAGCTGATTTAGTTTAAAGGAACTCAATCTGAAGGGATTTTTTTTTCCCCCAAGCTGGTGGATGTAGGAATGTTGAGTTATAGGTGTGTCTCACTTCCCAAGGAAAGGAAATGCCACCTTCCAGACCGGGAATTCCTGGTGATTTGTGTGTGAATGCCTTTGCTCAGCCAAGCCCTGGCCCTTAATTACCATCGATTGAAGTGTTGCCTTGAGCAAACTGAAGAATTCGGCCTTGAGATTTAATGTAAAACTCCCAAAAGCAAAACACTTGGAAAAATGTGTCTCCTTGAACCTCCACACGTAGGAGCTCCGGGAATTTTTAGAATTAGGTTCCAAGGAATCTGGATGACACAAAGTCTGTTTTTGAAGGTGCTAAAGGTCAAGAGTGAATAATCCCATGGATGTGGAAGAAGGGAAGCAGTCAAAAAACAATAACACGTATGAGAACCCAACTTTTCCTCTCTTTATTTTAGATTTGGGAAAATTCCTTGCCAAAAAAAAAAACCAAACCAAACTCTGGAAAATTCACTAGTGTTTGTGTGAGTAAAAGGTTCCAACCATTTATTACTGATCTGTAAGAACGATTTCATTCAGTTTTGTCCCCAAGAATCCGAAATCCTTTTGCACGGAAATGTGCAGTGAAAGGGGCAAATCACTTTTGTTTGAATTTTAGCTGGTCTGGTTGCAGGTCAAAAACCGAGAATCCTAAAAATCTTAATTTTATAAGAATATAAAAATAAGTGCATGACTTCACATTAAAAAAAAAAATGCTGTAGCTCAAGAAATCGGGTTCTGGTGGCACCAAAAAATCATCAACTGGATTGGACCTGAGCCATTCCCAAATGATCTTGCAGCGATGGATGATGATGGATCCACGGATTAGGGAACAGCAAATTCATAGCATGTGGTGGAAAACCAAATTATTTCCCCAAATCCAAGCCCTGGTTCCATGCAGCCATGCCACTCCCTCCGGGGGCACTTCCCTGCTCCCCAGGGCTTGTCCTTGCTCTGCTTCATCCTTCCTGCTCCTGACCTGTCTGCTGAGGGTTAGAGCCATTCCCGAGGGATGGACACCCCTGGGTGGCTGTGTTTGTCCCTGGGTGGCTGTGTTTGTCCCTGGATGGCTGTGTTTATCCCTGGATGGCTGAGGTTTTTTTCCCTGGATGGCTGTGTTTATCCCTGGATGGCTGTGTTTTTTTTTCCCTGGATGGATGTGTTTATGTGTGCATGGAGGGATGTTTGTGTGCTGCCCCCAAACCCCCCCATCCCAACTAACCCCTGGCAGCATCACCCCCAACTCTTATCCAGATATTATGGAAATATTTCATTTTTTTCCCCCCAGTTTTCTCCAAATGAGAGGCTTTGCCTGCAGTTTGCTGTGGCAAATAGCCAGAAATTCTCATTTTTGCTCTCGCTCTCACTTTATTCTCCCTCCTCTGGCGTGTGTATAAACACATCTGTGCATGTGGGTTTATACACACAAATGTGGGGTTTTCTGTACAGGTAATAAAGATGGGGGAAGGTTTTTGTGTTTTCTTAATAGGTGAAGAAATCTTGGAAGACCAGAAATTGCAACTTACTGAATGTTAAATTATTAAAAAAAAAAAAAAAAAAATTAGAAATTGCCCGGCTGTGGAAGATGGAGCCTCATTTTTGCAGCCACTTTGAATCCCAAGTTCATCTTTAAATGCGCTGGGGCTTCTTTTGGTGGTTTTTTGGTGGTTTTTTGGAAGAGCTAAGTAACCCTGGCTGTCTCCAGGCTGACAGTGTTCCAATGGACTTGCTTCCTCCATTAGTTGTAAGATGTTTGAGAGCACATCCTAAGTTTGAATTGTGGATGAGAGGTTCCCTTGGCAATGTGAGAAGGAAAATTCTTTCTACCCCTTTGTTATTAATTCACGGACTCAAGTGTTGGTTCGGCCTACAGGAGAAGGGAACTGGATGTCTGGGAAGATCAAAGTCTGTGCTGAAGTTGTCCAGGTGTGTGAACCCCAAAATCCACAGGGACTGGAAAAATGTTTAATGTATCTCTTGTATGTGATAGAAATTATTAGTAATTGATTAATCATGTAATACTTCAAATGTCATACTATTCAAATGTCACTTCAAAAGGTGGGATATTATTAAGATGTGGTGTTATTAAATAATATTAATGTGCTATTATTGAGCAGTTATATTGAGATACTGTTATTACTATTATTATTTATATGTAATTATTAAGGCATAATTTGAAAGGTAATATCAGTTATATTATCAATTATATTATCAATATATCAGTATCAATTATATTATCAATATAAATTATATCAGCATCATTAATAACTCAAGATGATGACCAGTTTTTTTAAGAAGTGGCTCACTTTTAGGCTTACAGCCACACTCCAGTTTTTTCTCTGCTCCACAATATATATCTGTGATTAAAACCCCAGAACAGGCCTTGTGCTGACAACATTCGTGCGGTTTTACACAAATTTGGCAGAGTTTTTGTGACCAGCTGATTTCAACACATTTGCCCCCCTCAAAAGATAAATTTGACTAACAGAAAACAGCTGTAAAAATGCTCATTACTCAGTTATTTGTCACTTATTGATCCCTTTTCTTCAGGGTTACTTTTAAAAAGAAGATTTCACTGCTAAGCCAGTAGAAGACTTTGAGTCCCAGAAAAGTGAAGCCAGTTTCTGCCAAGTCTGGAGGAAGACCCTGAGAGCAAACCCTGAGAGCTCATTCCAGCAATTTATCCATTATGTCTAACCAAGGAGATGACTGCTACTTCTACTTCTATTCCACGTGCAACAAGGTGTGTTTGGGAGCATTTTCCTTTGAGATTTGGGGTTTCCCTTCTTATTTTATAAGCAAGGAGGGGGAAGCATGCGAAGAGACACACAGGTTGCTGTTAACTGAATTAACTGCTTCCAGCTCCAAGAAAGTGGGCATTTTTGTAGGCTGGATGGTTTTATATCCCTTTTTTTTCCTGCTTTCCTTTGGATTCCAGGGAGACAGCTGTGCCTTCCGCCACTGTGAGGCTGCTCTGGGAAGTGAGACCGTGTGCACCCTCTGGCAGGAGGGTCGTTGTTTCAGGAACGTCTGCAGGTTCAGACACATGGAGATCGATGTGAGTGTTTGCAAAACAAAGCAGGGACAGCGTTTTGCAGTGCTGTGGGTGGGTGAATGTGCTTTTGCAGGATAGATTTACCTGCTTTAAAGGGATATTGGTCACCAGGAGGGGGGTGGCAGGAAGCTGGGGGAAGAAAAATCGATTTCTGAGGTGTATCTTGGCAGGAAATGTTTGTGTTAGGTGCTGATGTTATTTGCTTAATCAGAGGTAGAAGCACAACCCCATGGATCACAGGGCTTAAACGTGCTGGGAAACAGCCTCCTGAGGGCTGGGCTGGAAGATGGCCTGGCAGGTTCCTTGTGCCCTGAATTTCTTCAGATAACATTATCCCGACCTCTTGGAGCAGTACAGGGAGGGGAGAAATCAGATGGGAAGGAACCAGTGCTCTGAAAGATAAATTCAGATAGATTTAACTGGGCAATTGAAGCCGTTTTTCCCTCTGAATAATCCCATTATTTTGGGTTTTGTACTAGTTTAACCCTGAGTTGATGTGTCAGGCTGGCCTGTCTTCCCCAGCTGAGCGACAGCAAAGCAAAGCCAGACAATATTTAGTTGTTCCCCCCCCTACACAAACTCTGTTTATGTGCCCCGAAATATTTTTAGCGAGAAGTTGACCTTTGGAATGGTATTTCAGCACTGCCCTGCAACAGCCCTGTCTCTGACATGTCATGAAAGTGAGTCTCTTTGGGAGTCTGAGCTTGGCTTTGTCCCTTCCCTCAGAAAAAGCGGAGCGAGATCGCCTGTTACTGGGAGAACCAGCCCGGGGGCTGCCAGAAGTCCAACTGTGCTTTCCACCACACCAAAGGCCGTTACGTCGATGGGCTCTTCCTACCCCCCAGCAAAAGTGAGTCTCTCAGCTCCACTTTCTGTAATTCTTCGATATTTAGTCGTGAATATTGCTTAGGATGGGGTAAAACACTGGAGAGGCTCCAGGAATTGGTCGTTCCTGAGTGCAGGGAGAAGTCTGCAGTCACGGGCTCTCAGCTGAATGGAATGTAGTTCTGGGGTTTAATTTTATTTTCATGCTCAGCTCCTCTGTGATCTTTGCCTTTCAGGTTCCTTTCCCCTCATTTAGTCCTTTCTGGGTGGGGAGCTGTGTGAGGGAAACCACAGTGTAAGCAGGGGTGGGGATAAGGGAACTAAATTCAGTAGTAGCCAGTTGGGTTTATCTTATCCACCTTCCCTGTCATACCTGCAACACTGGGGTCAGTTTGACACAGCCAGGTGACAGATGATCTCCTTTTCCTCAGCCACACTCCCAAGTCCACCTGAGTCTGCAGAGGACGATGTGAAAATGGCTCAGATGTCACTGCAGCAAAACAAACTCTCTGTGCAGTCCAACCCCTCCCCACAGCTGAGGGGGGTGATGAAAGTGGAGAACTCAGAAAATGTCCCGAGTCCTACACACCCTCCAGTTGTCATCAATGCTGCAGATGATGATGAAGATGATGATGGTGAGCATTTTTTACTTACTGAAGGTGTTCCTACTGTAAGTGAATATATAAATCACATAATACCTGAATTTTGTAGTGGTTAAAACTACAGGCGAGAGTCTGGAGTCCTAAATATCTTTATGGGTTGAAATGTCGTTGTATGAGCTGCATAAACATGAACAATCATGTCTGATCCCTACTCCATAAATTAATTGGTTTATTTTTGCCTTTCAGACCAGCTTTCTGAAGAAGGAGAAGAAACCAAAACACCTGTCCAGCAGCCAGCCACAGAAGCCCATAATGGATTGAGGCTGATTTCCACTAGGAAATCCAATGCTAATACAAAGCAAGGTATTCCAGCAGCTGTAGGAGGGTGGATTGGAAGGAGAATTTGACAATTGAAAGCAATATGTTCTAAAAACACAATAGAACATGAGGTCACTGAAGGGAGTCATTCCCATCTAATAATGTCATATGTCCCAAGGAGGTAAACTCCTCCTGGTTTGCTTTTGTGGAACAAAACAGAGCCACAACATGGAGTTTAAATGCCTGCAGATGTGTCCTTTCAGACATTGTGCAAATGCCAGAGGAATCTTTAATCCCTCTGCATTACATTAATGCTTGGAAGTGGAGATCTTACCCTGTAGGATGGAGGAGGGTGAAGGAAGGTGCCAATTCCTTACCAAAATACCATCTGTTCTGGGGCTGTTTTTACTCATGGGGAGTGTTGACAGGGTTTATTCAAAATGCCCTTAAGCCTCAGTTTCATGAACTGTTCTCTGCTTTCAGATGACAATTTAAATTTTGGAATAAAAACACTCGAAGAAATCAAATTGAAGAAGCTGAAGGAAAAAGCCAAAAAACAAGGTGGTGAGTTAATATCCCCTATCTTCCTGTCCTTCTGCCTTCTGTTCACCTTATCCTTGGTTTTAATCCTTCTGATATTACTTGGATGGCTGGAATTTGCAGGAGAAGGATTTTTTTTTTTGTTGCACTGTTGGGCTCAGAGTGGGAGATGGTTTTTGCACCTGAGAGCTGATTGGGGGACAGACTTTTGGGGGCCTTGAGCTGCTTTGGCATGTGAGCTGTTTCTGAAGCAGCTGGTGTTCCTGCTTGGAATTCCAAGGGCAAATCCAAGGGGAAACTGCTCATCTCTCTTATTTGCATGCACTGCTTGTTGTGTGTTTGGCAGTAATGAGTAACTGGTGTTCTTGGTCTCCGTGATGGTTCTCCTGTTTTGTTTGGTTGGGTTGTTTCCCTAAACATCCTCGTTTGTTCCGTGCTCTGAGCAGAAGGTCCCTCAGGAGTTGCTGTTGATCCGCTCCAAGCTCGGACAATTCCTGTGCCAGAGAAGGAAAACGTAAGGACAGTGCTGAGAACTGTGACTCTGTCCTCAAAGGAAGGTGAGAACTTCCATTTCACGGCTCCCAAATCAAAAAATCAAACTGTTCAGTAATAATGAACTCCCACGTGTGGGGCTGCCTTTTCTAATTCAAACCACTTGATGCTCGAAGGCCCTGGTCGTGTTGGAAAGGGTTGGAATCTGGAGGTGCTGGATTTGTTACACTGCAGTGAAAGATCAAGGTTTTTCTCATTAAGCCATAACTGATCATATCTTATCACATCCTCCAGACTCTCAAATGTGTTACATTGCACTTTGAGGTCGAGTTGTAGAAGTGCAGTAGCAGCAGGGAGGGGCTGATGGCAAAGCAAGAGTGAGAGTGCAGAGAAGAGGTTAATTAAAAACAGGAGTAATGAAAGGGAAGATCGAGAAGATGGAATTATACAAGTAGCCAGTTTTTGAAGCATTGAAGAGGCTGACAGTGGCAGTTGTGTGATAGGAGTCTGTATAAATTAATTTTAAAGGAAATTATAAATTCCTTTTAAAGGCAGAAAACATGGAGAACCACTTCTGCTCACAGTCATTCATTAGTTATGGGGTTTGGCTACCAAAGGAGTGTCATTTTTAGGGGCATGGGCTGGAAGGATGATGCTTTTACTGGCTGCTGGTTTCTGTGCACTGAACAGATGATTCTTTGTTTTAGGTGAGGATCCTGTGATCCAGCTGAATCTTCCTGACAGACTGGGAAAACGGAAAACTCTCATAGGTGAGAGCTTTTTGTGAGCTGCTCTTTGGGTGCCCTCACCTAAACATGATGATATTTAAAGGTATTTTTGGGGAGGAAATTACATGATGTGCACTGGTTGCAAACCAGCCAAATTCTGTTAGCAACTGAAAGGCAAAATACCAGAAAATAAACCTGGAAGGACTGAAGTCTGTGGCTGACTGTTGGAAAATCCTCCTGCAGAGAAACCTTCTGAAAGTATTTTCCCCTTTGTGTCTTTCTGAAGGAGGTAAAACCTTCCTTCCTCTGAGGCGTAACGTTGCTGACAGGCTGGGCAGGAAGGCAGAGCTGCTGGAGAATGCTGAGAAAGCCCCCAGGAGAGGCACAGGTACCAAACACACCTGGATTTCACACCCACACTTTCTGCTTAGCTTTTCTGTTTCTCCTTCTGGTGGTTCTTTTTGCATGTTGGTTGAGGGCTCAAGGTAACTGTGAACCCCACTGGAGTGATCTCCTGTCTCATCTCACAAAATCAGGATTTCTGCAGTCTCCCTGACCTTTTCTATTCTGTGTTTTAGTTCAAGTGCTGAAGTCCCTGAGGGAGAGGCTGGGACAGCCCTCTGACCAGAGCAGTACAGAGACAGGTAATAACTGGATATTAAATACACCTCCCCCTTTTTTCTTTCCATGAACTTCCATAGTGCCCTAAAAGTTAATTTTAAAGAGCTTCTGTCCCTTGCTGGGGTGCTGAGCTGTCCTGAGGCTGCTCTCACAGAGGTGGCTCCTACATGTGTCTCATCAAGGTTTGATGCTCCTGAACCATCAGAAGCTGCAGTTGCTCACACACAAGTAGGATAGAACCATTCCCAGGAGCAGGGTTTTGGGATGCCCATGGATAGACAAGGTCTAAGAAGTAACAAAATAACTGGTTCTGGTTTTCAAAATTCAGATGGTTTAAAAGAGGGAGGAGAATGTTATTGTTAATTGGGATTGTTAAGCCTGGAGAAGGGAAGGCTTTGGGGTGATCTGTTTGTGCCTGAAGGAGCCGACAGAAAAGATGGAGAGAGACTATTTCCAAGGGCCTGGAGTGACAGGGCAAGGGGGAATGGATTTACTCCAACAGAGAGTGGGTTTAGATTGGATATTGGATATTAGGAGTGGGGAGGCCCTGGCACAGGCTGCCCAGAGAAGCTGTGGCTGCCCCATCCCTGCGAAGTGTCCAAGGCCAGGTATGGGAATGTTGGGTATGGGGGTTGCGAGCAACTGCGGGCTGGTGGAAGGTGTCCCTGCCCATGGCAGAGGGTGGGACTGGGTGAGCTTTAAGGTCCCTTCCCAGCCAACCCATTCCATGATTCTGCAGAGGATACTGATCTCAGCTGCATCATCTTGGAGAGCATCAACACCCCTCTCCTTAGTGCTGTGACAGATTTTGGAGACTAAATGTTGCTGGACTGTGTTTAAACACTGGTGCTTCCCTTTTTTGGCTGCTGACAGAGAAGGCTGCCAAGCCCATCGAGGAGATCCGGGTGAAGACCCTGGAGGAGATTCGCCTGGAGAGGGCGAGCCAGAGGCGGGGGGAGCCCCCGGCCAAGCCCCCTGGTGAGGCCCGGAGGGCAGAGGAGCCCAGCCCAGGGACCAGACCTGCCCCCCCTGCCCGCATCAAATCCCTCTCGGGAGCCCTGGCTGAGAAGAACCACAAGAGGCTGGAGGAAGAGAAGGGAAAAGCGGAGGAGTTTCCTGCCAAGCCAAAAGCCGAGGGAGAGCCCAGGAAGAGCATTTCTGCTCCAGCTGTGCCTGGCAGGGTGCAGCTGGCAGAGCCAGGAAGAGCCAAGCCAGCGGGAGAAGTGCGGATCAAAACCTTGGAGGAGATCAAGAGGGAGAAAGCTCTGAGGATGCAGCAGAGCGGGGAGAACGTGCCCGCTCCTCCCGCACAGCCCGAGCCTGCCCTCAGAGGGAGGAAACTGCTGCGGGTCACCAAGCTCATAGGTAAGGAGGGACCTCCCTGGGGAAGTGCTTCCCTGGGGAAAGGAGTCCAGTTTCCTCAGGATTCCCTTCGCTTTTTCCTTCTGTGAATACCAAGGTCAAAGGGACCGTGTTATATTCCACGAACTGCGTGATAGTTTTCTGTATTTCCCACTGGAAAATTCATTCCTTGAGGAGCTTTGTGGTCTGATTTCTCTCTTGTGTTTTTCTGCCATTGGTTTGTGGTATGGGATCTTCCCTGTGCAGAATCCAGGGTTACATTCCTCTTTGGAATATGTGTTTATTGATATATGTGTGTTTGGGAAGGATGTACCAACTTGTTAACGAGGGCATTAAAGACCTCATCGTTAAGATTATATAAACCACATATAAAGAGATTGAGGGAGAGATGAGACGCTTCAGGAATTGCTTCCTGTAGCCTTTCCCTCTGTCCTGACACATGAGAAAATAAACACACCAAGGAAACCAGGTTTCTTTACCTCTGCTGTTGACAAAATACTTATTTTTCACTTCTGCTTGTTTTAAAGCACCTGGAAGAGAAGAAAAAATGATAGTGGAACTGAACAAACCTTCTCCTAAAACTGTCTCTGCACCTGCAGAGGTGAGTCTGTTGTGAAAACTTCAATATATACATTTGTACATAAAATTTCTGATAAATTTTGCTGTGTTTTGTTTGTAAACTCACTTCCTGCTCCCGGTTGGAATGTGTTCCTACCTTTCCTCATTTGGTATTTGCTGCAGTGAAGTCCCAGGTCCTGTCACTTCCAGTAGCATTTCCAGACAACATCATAATCCTCACTTTGAATTAATTAATTAATTTGAACTAAAACCTGGAATTAATCTGATTATACCTCACAATGAAACCTCTTAGCATGAGAGGTTAATGTGGGGAGAATGGTTTTGTTCTCAGTGACTTTCTCTGGCAAACTTTGGGCATGTCTTGAAATTCTGAGCTGAGTATTTCAGTGACAAAGGCTGGAGGTTTCAGGAGAGGACATCAGGCTGTATGGGGGAGCTTGTATGGCTTTGTAGTCCTTGAAAAGAATGGAGAGGGTACAGCTAGAGTCTTCTGCTCCATGAAAGCAGCTTGCTGTGTTGGGAATTGCAGGCTTTTGAAACATTATTACCAGAGCAAAGCAGGGATCTTGTTACAGGCAGCATTTTACACAAAAAATGTTGGATTTCAATGGTGCCACATGGAGCCATTTTGGAGGGGTTGCCACCCAGATTTTCCTAATGGAATCTCCATAGATTTTTGTCCTAATAATCCTTTTCTTTTTTAATTTTTTTTTAGCCCTCTGGTCAGAGTGCAGCTAATTCCACAGTGCAGGTGAAGAGCCTGGAGGAGATCATGTGGGAGAAGCGGCAGCTGAAGCAACGCCAGGAGAAGCTTCAGAAGGAAGCAGCTGCTGTGCCAACCCCAGTGGAGAAACCAGCCAAGGAGAAAACTCCCCCCTCAGGGAGCCCTGAATCCGCCGTGGTTTCAGGACCAGCTTATCAGCTTGGGAGGAGGAAACTGGTGAAGCCTCAGGAGGACGGGGTGGGAAGCCCAGAGAAGGACCCTGCAGTGTCCCCAGGGAAGAAGGCAGCCCAGCCTCCGGAAAGGAAAGCTAAAAGTGAGTGCTGAGTGTCAGCTCAGGGTGTGTTGTGGAGAGCAGCCTGGGGAGAAGGGCCACGTGTGCTGGAACCAAACCAAATCCTGGGCCACATCCAACTGAGTGTGGCCAGCAGGGCAAGGGAGGGGAGAACCCCCTCTGATCTGCTCTGGTGAGACCCCACCTGGAGTCCTGTCTCCAGTTCTGGTGCCCCCAAGAGAAGAAAGATGTGGAACTGGTGGAGGAAGCCCAGGAGGGGTCTCAGAGTCAATAAAGGGACTGGAGCACCTGCCCTGTGGAAACAGGCTGGGAGAGCTGGGGGTGTGCAGCCTGAGAACAGAAGGTTGTGTGGACACCTCACAGCACCTTCCAAGACTTGAGGGGGCTACAAGGCAGCTGGAGAGGGACTGTTCACCAGGAAACAGGGACAGGACAAGGGGAATGGCTTCACACTGAAAGAGGGGAAATTTAGGTTTGATACACAAAAGAAATTCTTCCCTGTGAGGGTGGGCAGGCCCTGGCACAGGTTGCCCAGAGAAGCTGTGGCTGCCCCATCCCTGGAAGTGTCCAAGGCCAGGTTGGACAAGGCTTGGAGCAACCTGGGCTAGTGGAAGGTGTCCCTGCCCATGGCAGGGGGTGGAACGGGACGATCTTTAAGGTCCCTTCCAACCCAAACTATTTTCCAATTCTATGACTGTGGGACTATTAAGAACCTGTTGGTTTTTTGCCCCAAGGCAGAGCAAGGCTGTGCCGTCTCACTCTTCCTTCTATTCCAGCCAAATCCAAGGTGTGCCTGAAGCCTCTGGATGGCAGAGCCACGTCCTCCCCGAGGCAGACCCTGAAACGCAAGGCCACCGAGAGCCACCCCACTGCCGTGGTGGCCGTGAAGCCCCTCAGTGCCACCGGTGGGGACACCAAGGAGCCCTCAGCCAAGAAAGCAGCTGCGGTAAGGACAGTGCTCGAGCCAGCTGGGGGTCCCCAGGAACGTTTATGGCCAAATCTTGCCCTCTTCTGGGAGAAGAGGTGGAAAACTGAAATATCTAGGGAAGATTTTTACTGTCTTCCTTCTCCCCAGGCCGTGGCTCCTGCTTTGCCAGAGGACAGCCTGGTCTCCATACCTCGGAGGGAAAAACCTCAAAGCAGGTAACAATCACACCTTTGTCCCTTTTCTTGATCTCTGCCACTTTCACGTGAAACAGGTGGGTTTGTTCACATGTGGAAAATTTTGAGTTTCGAGGTAATCAGTGCCAAAATCCCAACAAAGAAACAATTAATTTGAAGTAATTTCTGTAGCAGCAATGCTTATTTAGGTGGTTTTCTTAAAATGCTGCACTTGGGTACAGCATTTCAGTGACTCTTTGGATTTTCTGAGAGCCTGTAGAGGTTCACTTCTTCCCCTTTTTATGGTCAAATCAGTAAAGATGGAGAGGTCTCTCTGGCTACAAGTACTGACAGTTCTTTCCCAGACTCCAGGTGTTTCTTCATGGATAAATCCCCAAACTGACAACTGTACCTGCTGATCCTGGACTTTTAAAAGTAGTCCCAGGTTAACTGAGTGACAATCCCTGTGTGAGGGTTGAGATGGAGGAGGGTTAAATTCCAGGTAAGGAGTGTCCCACACTGATGTTCCCTCTTGTTCTTCCCAGCCCTGAGCTGCACCTCGGGAGCCAGGCAGACTCCCTGGCACAGTCAGAGGTCTCCAGCTCGACTTCAGCTTCCTCAGAAGTGCCGGTGAAGCTGCGCCGGCTGAGCTCCACGGGCTCTGCCAAAGCACCTCTGTCTGTGGAAGACGACTTTGAGAAGCTCATTTGGGAAATCTCAGGAGGCAAACTGGAAGCAGAGATTGACCTGGACCCAGGGAAGGACGAGGATGACCTCCTTCTGGAACTTTCGGAGATGATTGACAGCTGAACTGCACAGTCTTAAAAAAAAAAAAAAAAGAAAAAAAAAAACAACACCAAAAAAAAAAAACATAAACTTCCCCCCTACACAACCCCCAAACCTGTATATTTTGTTGGATACGTGGAGGTGATCCTTTCCTAGCTGAGGCTGAAGGCACAGTTGGATGGGTAGGATTAGGCAGGATCTGCACTCAGTTGTCCTGACTTTCCCCGGGACTGTCGGTGGCTCCTTCCACACGGAGTGGACAAAGCACTCGTGGTTTTTTTTCTGGGGACACAGAGATCCCATCTCCAGACTGTGGTGGTTGTGAACTGATCTGCTCATTCTGTGACACTCCGAAGGCTTCAAACAAAAGCTCCCACCTTCCCCCCTCCCTGGCACGACCCAACGTTCAGCACATTTCAGCGCTTCGTGTTCGGATCCCGTGGACAGTTGGTACCCAAAGCCTGGAGTTACTATGTCAACTCTTGAGTTTTACTGCTGTACGCTGTCATTTTGACTTTAATTAGGGGAATTAATGACAATGCTGGGGGAGGGAGGGAGCAGATTAATTAGTATTTCGGACCAAACACGCTGCCAAGGGCGGTGGCTGGGGTGTGTCCATCCAGCCTTACTTCGAATTATCAGGGTGCTTTTTCCCGATGGGAACAGGATCCTGGGGTGGGCAGCCAGGATTCCTCATTGTCTGCAGTGAATTGGGAAAGGAAGGATTGGTTTAAGTGCCTCTTGGTTCCAAGCATTGCTCCCCTGAGCTGCCGATCCTTCATCCTGCTGAAGGAATTCCTCAGCCCTGACGTCCGCCAGCATCCGTCTCACATGCCCATGGAATGACTCTGGGAGAGAGGAAGAGGGCATGGAAGGTTTCCTCCTCCTCTATCAGCCCGTGGAGGCGGGATTTTGGTGTATACCATGGTTTCTGTAAATATTTTATTCTTCCATTTTATATTTGTATTCTATTTAAGGTATTAAACGTAGGCTGGTCACCTCCGCCCGCCCCGCTCGTGTCTGTACAGACCTGGTTCTGGTTTCTATGTGTATTTTATTTAAGGAATTGTATTAAACACCGTCTGGTCGCCTCCTCCTTCCCTGTAGCTGAGTGTTTATAAATAAATAAGCGCAGGAGCGGGGTCTGGGGGCTCAGAGGGGTTGACCAGGACAGGGATTGTCCCCCTGTGCTGGCACTGCTGAGGGACCTCAAATCCTGTGTCCAGTTCTGGTCACTCAGTTCAGGAGGGACATTGAGGGGCTGGAGCGTGTCCAGGAAAGGGAATGGAGCTGGGAAGGGGCTGGAGCAGCAGGAGAACTGAGGGAGCTGGGGGGGCTCAGCCTGGAG